CAAACGTGGAATTAATTTTAATGGATTATATGGTTGACGGTCTAACTTAGCTGCTCCTTAAAAGGAAGGGACAATTTGGAAAAGACGGTCAGATGTTAGCACAGTTCCCACTACTGAAGAACAAAATTGGTGCTGTCCTCATTGCGAATGATGTCTGTCGCTACAATGACGAGTTCTGTGTGATCATATTAACACAGCCCAAAGCGAAGAATGTGTTGAGATCTCAAATGAACCGGCATGTATCAAATTTAGCTTAGGCGAAACACCATGCAATGGATGGCTGCCCTATCTCAACGCACAATTAATATATCCATTGCTACTGCAGGGAAATTTGGAAGAACATCCTCACAAATGCTACAACTGCGTATTCTACAGGAAGGATGAAGGTTCAAAACGGCAATGTAATTGTGCTCCGGAGATGACATTGACGCTAGACAAATTGCTTTCAGCCAAGTAGTGCAATAATTTTCTTTGTACACCCCGTTGGAATTAAAAATTAGGAACTTTTCTTGAAAATCGTCCCAAAAACGCTACAGGCCATGGCCTTACGATAGCTGGCAGCAGTTCAACTTTTTCGCTGTAGTGACTGTTTTGGCGTAACGCTATGTTTTCAACTAATCAGGGTTTTCACCGCGCAACTTTGGCGAAGAAGATAGAGAGGCTTAACTCCAAACAACAGAACTCACTGGAACTTTGCACATACGAAACTGACAATTCTTATTTCTATTTTCCCAGGAATGTCTAGAATTTTTCTAGAAAGTTTTAGCCCTCTCGTACTTTTCTTCTCATATGAAAGCATCGCTATTCAGCAATACTAATCAGTTTTGATGTATCTCACATTTTAACGTTGAAAAATTCGAAAATTGGATAGTTTGCACCAACATTGGGATATTCTCATTGTACATTAATAAATAAATAATGCAATTCTTCCATACATATGAATAAACCCTTCAGATCTACATTCGGTCAACGGACTACAATAGAACCATAATTTCTGCTATGTCCAATTTGTTGGGCATGTATGGACAAAATAATGGGAAAAATATCCCGGGAGTTGATTACCCAAACATAACAGGTTGGCCGAGAGGATATGTCCCAATTGCACCACACACCGTTGATCACGACAGTGACCATGTAAGTCTTTAATTGTATACAAAAGTCATTTATGATTTTTTTCTTGAAAATAATGGAAAACTATTCAGCTACTAATACCTCACGCACCTTGCAAACGCATGAATTGGTTATTTGAAATGCTGAGAACACAATCGGAGGAGGTCAGAGGTTTCATAAACAAACCAGAGGTAAGGATTTTCTTTTTTTGAGAATTTCTTCTTCTTAGTTACTGAGTCCAGCTCCATACGTTTTATTTCATGTATCATCCGTGAGACTTTTGATTGCAGTTTGGAAATTTGCAAAATTGCTCTAGCTGATATCAAGAATTCCGAAAGCGGGCACTTAAAACAATTGAGTTTTCAAAAAAGATTATAGCTGCTTTTGAGGTGGGAAACACATTATGATTGTTGTAGTGCGGCATAGCATAATTAAGACAAGAAAATTTCACCGGTAACCTTGCATTTCTTTAAGCTACAAAGATATTGAAGGGGTAGGGAGGAAGGCGGCTGAGCATCATCCTCCCAAGGGATGCCGCCTTTCGAATCTGCACGTAGGCGGCCCCGCCCACTACTTGCTC